TGTTATAGTTACCTTGTCATTATTTTTTCTAAAGGACCTCCTCGTGGATAATGTTTGGCGTGAGTCTCTCTGCCGAATAGTCCTTGTGGCGAATTGTCCATTTTGATAATACATTGGAGTACAATACCCTACTGCATGTGAAAATGCAAAATATAGAGTACTTACGTGTTAACACCGACGTGTTCATTGCTTGAATGCGGCGTTGTGGTATTCTATGAATGTGTGCACGTGGGCGTTGTAGCATGCATATTAGATCGGATGCGTGTGTTATTTTTGCCAAAAAAAAAAACAAAACAAAACAAAAAGGCCGACCGACAATATGTATAATTCGTATGTTCATCATGCAAATGAGAAATTGCCGCTTAGATAATAATGAATCGATATTTATATACCGCCTTACCGCCATCTTTCATTTCACAGTCTGTATTGACGGAACGCCCATCGGAGTTCATCGCAATGACCTGTAATGAGGTTGGCGATATTGGCGCTATTAAAACTTCGTGATTAGTTAGAAGTTAATGTTGTAAAATATCTAAAAAGATGTGTATAAGAGACAGGTATCGCGACGTTTTTCTTTCTCAATGATTACAGTCGAGAATTTGCATTACTGAAGCACAACGTTTAAGAATTTATCTCCTTAAAGTATCTTTTATATATTTATATTTTATTTTTTATTATATTTTATATTATTATTTTTTTCAGGCGACCACCCACAAACATCAGACGGAGTCGCGTTGGCTAGCGCTGAAAGAAAGCGGAATTGGACGGCCTTACGACCATCGTACGACGAAGTGAGTGCCCGGCCTAAGGGGAGAGTTCAAATAAACATAAAAATTAGACAAACTTTAATCATTTTATTTAACAATAATCTTGCCAAAATTGGTAGCGGCAGTTTGGCGCAGCGGTTCAGGTTTGGGCTTTCAATCGTAAGGTCGGGGTTTCGAGTCTCCGCTGTGCAGATTTGCTTGTGTCCTTGGGCAAGGCGCTTTAGCTACATTGCTTCAGTCCACCCAGCTGTATCAATGGGTACCAGCAAACTGCTGGGACTAACCTGCGACGGACTAGTGTCCCGTCCAGGGGAGTACAACTCTCATCCGCTTCACACTACAGAAACTGTCCCAGTGGCTCGGAAAGGATTTAGTTTTTTTTTAGTTAGCCAAAATTAGAGCTCATACAACTAGTTCATAGAGAATGTCATATGTAGCAATATAATACAATGATGGTGATTATGAAAGAAAATATATAGGACGGTTCCGCTTTCTTTTAATTTATTTTATTTTTTTTTGGTAACAATAAGTATTGTCAAACGGCGGAAAAGGTGAACTGGGTCAAACAGGCAGACTGCAGTCTAGGTTGATTTCTGTCTAGGCCTCGAGTATCATAAAAAAATTATACCGACAATATGTATAATCCGTATGTTCATCATGCAAATGAGAAATTGCCGCTTAGATAATAATGAATCGATATTTTATAAACCGCCTTGCCGCCAGTATCTTTCATTTCACCGTCTGTATTGACGGAACGCCCATCGGAGTTCATCGCAATGACCTGTAATGAGGTCGGCGATATTGGCGCTATTAAAACTTCGTGATTTAATAGAAGTTAATGTTGTAAAATATCTAAAATGTCCACTAAGTATTATTCATTTAAGTCCCGGTCAGTTGCTAACATATTTGGCACTGGCATTGCAAGAAAATATGACGCTAATAATAATAATAAATTATTATTACCATAATACAGTACATCATTTTAGGCATTATAGCCATTACTATTACTGCTATTAATAATTGTATTATCATTTAATTATTAGTTTAATATTAAGTTATTTTCATTATCATTATTATTAATATTTATATTATCAGTATTATTAATGTTTAATGGATGCCATGTAATAGATATATTACAACCTAAAATTACAGTAGGCCTATTATTATTACTGGATTATTATTATTATTATTATTATTATTATTATTATTATTATTATTATTATTATTATTACTGTTGTTATTGTTGTTATTATTATTATTATTATCATTATTATTATTGGCTTTTCTCAGCAGTTCTGGGAAAAGCCATTGTTTTTGTTCTGATTTTTTTTTTCTTTTTTCTTGCATATATTTTTCCTATCTTTTTGCACTGTTTTTTTCTGGCCGACCGACAATATGTATAATTCGTATGTTCATCATGCAAATGAGAAATTGCCGCTTAGATAATAATGAATCGATATTTATATACCGCCTTACCGCCATCTTTCATTTCACAGTCTGTATTGACGGAACGCCCATCGGAGTTCATCGCAATGACCTGTAATGAGGTTGGCGATATTGGCGCTATTAAAACTTCGTGATTAGTTAGAAGTTAATGTTGTAAAATATCTAAAATGTCCACTACAGTATTATTCATTTCAGTCCCGTCCAGTTGCTAACGTATTTGACACTGGCATTGCAAGAAAATAAAATAATAATAATAATAATAATAATAATAATAATAATAATAATAATAATAATAATAATAATAATAGTAATAATAATATAATTAATAATAATAATAATACAGTAATAATATTACTGTAATTTTAGGTTGTAATATATCTATTACATGGCATCCATTAAACATTAATAATACCGAATATATTGAATAAAACTTTCGGGAGAGTTTAACCCAAGTTACAAGGAAGATATTATTGTGTATAGGGGACGATCCAGTTTAGGGTGTAAATTTGAGGGTCATTTAAATTCCTTACGTCCCCGTTATAGATGGATAAAAATGACACTTTGCAGAATAGTTTTTCATGGTGAAATGAAGAAATGATCCAATTTTTGTGACGATCCGCAGTAGGGTGTGGATATCGGGACCATTTAAAATTTTTTTGTTGACAGTTGATTAAATTATTTAAACGAAATTTGCTTTTTCTAAAGCGCTTAAACCAGTTACAGCTAGGTTAAACTCAAAACTACCATGATATGCATGAACAATTTGGGTTTTCAGTCATTGAATCGCTATGAACTGAAAATGCACTTTCCTATTCAAGGTCGGCTCATATGGCGCGCAATGGTTATGAGTCAAGCCATACTTCAAGTCTCAATAACGACGCAGTGAACTTGGTATTCGTTTTTTCCCCCACTTCATTTTTTCCACTTCATTAAAATTTTATTGGTTTTTCGTGTTTTTTTTTTTACTTTATACCATTTAACGACTTTTCTTTTTGTTGCAATTTCAACTTCATTTCTCATTAAAGCAATGAAAAAAAAACCCTATGTTCTGTTGTTGAAACAGACATAGTAAGCCTAGTAATTATTAGTGTTTTTAGTACTGTTATTATTACTTTTACTATTAATGTGATTATATTATTGCTATTATCATCATTATAAACATCATCATCATCATGCTTATCATTCTTATCATCCCCACATCATCCTTATCAACTGTAAGATTAAAGTTAAGGAATAGGGACAGGTGCGTAGCCAAGGAGAGGGGAGCAGGTATTAAGATACAAAATACAATAGTTTCATCATGGTTTAAAATGTTCTGTATAATGAATAAACTGCTGTAAAACAATATGATGTTCATTTTGATTCTTTAATTCCATAGAAATTTCACTTGATTTATACATTACTATTTGAGAGCAAACGGGCTGAGGTCACGTAAGATAGCCATATATAGAGCCATATTGTAAAATAGTTCAAGGGGTTTCGCACCTGGACCCTGACCGGGGCCCTTCGCGGCCCCCTGGCCCCCAGCATTTGGTTCCTTGCTTCGACCAGAACACTTGTTTCCCCCCCTACATAATTTCACGGACCCACACTGCCCCCCCCCTACAGAAATACTCTGGCTACGCCACTGAATAGGGACCATGGAATAGGGGACTGCAAAGTGAATAGCTTCTATTGTAAAATAATTCATTTTTTGTGATTTGTTTGTTACCTGCTTGCTTGTTTTTTGTTCTCTTGGTTTTGTTTTGTTGTAAATAAGTCCCCCCCCCCACACACACACACAGACCTTCATGGGCGGTCCTTACATCTCATTTTGTTCTTGTTTCATGTTTTTATTGCCATTTACTGTAATTGTTTGTATTGCCTTTTTAAAACAATCATTGTTCTTGCCGGTTTTTGATATTTTTCTATATTTTTTTTATGTTTTTAAAGCTAAATCGTTACTGTATTTTAAGATTGATTCTTTTATTAGCAATACCTCAAATGTGTATTACTGTATATTTAAAATGCAGTAATACATCTAATAAAATATATGAAACTAATTAACGACGTGCCAGACGTTATCATCAGGCAATAGTGCTACCTGTTTATATACAGTACAACCGGTCAGATGTACGGTATGACATACAAGCAAATAAGTCATCTATTATAAAGGTGAATACTGTGGTAAGACATGTAGTCCTATATAAGAATTAGAACGAACAAGAGATATTGTAACGAGTTGTTTGTTTACTTAGTGACCTATTTCCCTCAGCAAAGTAAAGGCTTCTTTTATTTTTACAAAAATATTTTATTATAACAAACGCATTTTAAAATTGATTGTATTTAATGCTTTTTATATTGTACAATAAATGGTTTTATGTTTGATGTTTTTAAGATGCAAATAAATCAAATCATCATCACTATCATCCTGGTTTTTAGAATACTGAATATGACTATAAGATGAATAAATGATCGAAGTGAAGTGTGGCCGCTAAAAAATACGATTCGGATTATTAGTGTTATTTGTTATATGTTAAATTCAGTCGTTATATGAATAACAGAGACGCACTACGCTCTATAAACACTTCCACATTTTGTGACAATATCTGTGATTTGCCATATATGGGTATGATATGACATCATCGTTCCCATGTATGTATGTGTGAAATACTTATGCCCAAAAATGGGCAAACAATTGTTACATAAAATAGTGTGGATAGAGCAACTTCATAACGCGTGCGCACTTCAATTCAATTCGATCCGTATTCAAACTCGAAATTAAAATATGACAGGAACATAACGCAATACAAACGGCATCAACATTTTATTGTATTGATACAAAGTGTCTTTGACACACATAGGTTTTTAATCCAAGCACAGTTATTTAATTGTGGAGATAAAAAATAAACAAACATATAGGTTTCACCTATTGGACCTATGACATCCGAAAGGACACTTACATTCATAAACATACTCATTCTGTCATTATCTGAGAATGTCTTTTTTCTTCTTCTATCTGTTCGATTACTGTTATCCTAATTTTGTTAACAATCTGCAGTAATTTTACTCTTTACAAACTGACCAATCAATGTTGTGTTATCTAGAGAGCTACCGTATCAGGTTAATGTCTGGTAATCAACTTGACCAGTCCATAACAGTATATTTATTAGGATTAATTTTAATTTGATATGAACAAAGCAAGTAATATAATGCTAAATGTTCTAATATCGGTATAATTTTGACATCTCAAGATTATATTGGTTCCCGGCGGAAAGGAGGGCTTGGGTGGCATGTGTATGCATAGATTACGTGGGCCTGCGTGGCTTATATGGGCCTGCCTGGCTTACGTGGACATACTGTACTTGGCCTTTGGAAAAATTACACCGACGATGTAAAAAGAAAGGTTTTTTTTTTTACAGCGACACATCAATTACAACACGAACATATCTCCAAGAATTCGTCCACCCTCCAAAACAAGTTTGATTTCAAACAACGCTGATGAGTTACAAGCCATTGTAGCCGTACAGTACGTGCCGCGCTAAGCAACAGCTTGTCAGTCATTTTCTCTAGTAGGCCTTATGTTGGAGAGTAACATTCTACAAAATCAAGCTTAAACATTTTGCATTTACCTTATTGGAGAAAATCTTACATCGTCTGAGTGAAGTTACTATAGGCACTCTATGCATTATTTACACCACTATTTTTATAGGTATATCTAAAGTCATCGCAACGAAGAAAACATTTCGAAACGGAAGGCCCTACCTACTTTGAACCATAAGGTCTATGCAGAATTTAGTCAGGTTTACCATTTATTTAATACTTCATTTATTGTTTCCCAAAGATACAAATATAACACATTGAAAGCTCTTTATTAAGCTCTGATGCACACACTGCTTTGGCGGGAGATCTAATACAGCACTTGTTTGCAAACTACATTATAAAAATCAAACTATTATATATCGATTTTTTCTGGTTTCACCAGGCATAGAGGGGCACAGAGAAACACACTTCAGGCATTTTCCTGCAAAATCTACGTATCTTTACAACGTCCTCATCCCTTTTTACATTGGCTATGTACAAGATTCGGCATCGCGGGCTTGTTGGTTGGGGGTCAATCAAACGGTTTTATATGAACAACATATTATGTTTTTTAAAGAAACAAACACACCAAAAAGTATAAACACATTAAAACATTTGCAAAACGTTGTAGGCTTAACGTATAGAGAAAAAAAATAAACAAACAATTTTGAGATCAATAAAAAAAAATCAATAAGATATATGATCCCGTGGAAAACTTGGCTTACATTTAGATCTTAATTTACAAATATATTTGAATATACCAAATGAATGATAATTTACAAGTTAACAGCGGTATAAGTCTCAATTGCAATAATTATCCTATACTCACTTCGCTAGAAATTAAGTATGTCAGCTAATTCATGATATAGACTTATCGTGTTTTTCAGTTAAAATCTTTTAAAAAACTATTAGGCCTATAATTAATTATTATTATTATTCTAGGAAACTAATTTACAATTTAATGGTCTTCATACCAGGAAGGAATAAAATTACTATGTTGTAACTGATGAGCAGTAACAGGTACGTAATTGGGGATTTCCCTCAAATAGTAATGAATAAACGACTGTACAGTATTTACTATTTTATGATTCAATAGAATTGTTCAATAGAGAATTTGGAACCCAATATATCATGCAAAAACATGCTCTAATATAATATATAGATATATGTATCCAACAAATCATATATATCAATATATTATATGAGACAAGTTCTACTGACTAAAACCGTCTGAATTCGATAGTTTGGAATATAAATAAAGAGTATTCAGATTTCATCCGACTAATAACTAAAAATCCAAACAAAAATGCAGCAAAAACTAAATGTTTTACCCAAAACAAATACAAATTAGCTAGAAAATTGAAGAGTGTTTTCAATGCAGTGGTTTTAACTACAGGAATGCATATATAACCAACAATCAGGCATACTGTTTAACCAGGTCGGGCCTAAACACCCGAGACCGGTACCCTGTGCATCTCCAGGAACCATGACCAGCCAGGCCATCGGTCAGGCTAGGCCGTTGCAACCAACCAACTAGTCTCTAATAGTCACACACAGTACTTTTTTTTTTAAACATTTGCCATTAACAGTGGGAAGGATACAAAGCTAAATTTTGGTCTTCAAGTTTCAACATAGGTTTTTTTACCGATGAAAAGGGTACCCTGCGAAATGTTGACCCTAAGTCGTTACACCAACTACGGTACTTGGCTTTCTTAATATTCCGACGTTATTATAACACATCGAATACAAACAAGTTTCAAGGTTTCTTACTAATAATTTTACGGTAATTAACACCAATTTTCGTCTTTACAAAAATGTGTACACTTTATGATTCACCTTAATATTTAGGGTGGAAATACATCTAGTTTGACTAAAAGCACCACTTTACAACTCTTAGTTTTTATAGACACTGTGATTCAGTCACAACGAAGCTAATTTTGTGAATCCAGGTTTTGAATATGAATATTAAATAGCCTAAGATTTTTCTCAATTCACATTCAAAACTTCAAAATTCAAATCTCTTAAAACATTTCACATTAGAAACAAAAATTATTGAATTTAGGTACACAATTTCTTCCTGTCTTAAATTCTTAATCTAATTATAAATGTTGAATAAAGCGAGATTTTACTTCCCTGTCCCGATTCATTAATCTTTTCGCAGTGTATAACCGGTATTTGCCTATCAATAAAGTTAGGGTTCGAGTGCGTTCTCAATAACCATCAGGAAAATCCCGTGTAAAAACGCATAGGCATTTTACAAAGTTCTACCAGCATACATATAAACTGTCTAATCCTTTATAGTTTTTTTCAACAGAATTTGATGTGAGAAAGCGGTGAACACTTCCCTATCTCGCTCACCGTAACTTTTATTTCAGTAACAAAATCCCACGAGTTCTGCTGCTGTGCGCACACTTTCATATTCGCGCGTCAAACGAATAAGTTGAATTTTGTTGTGTATTGCACAATGCGCATGTTCAGATCAAGTAGTTCAAGGCGGAGAAACACATTGCTTCACAACTCAACACTTATCACAATCAAAGAACTCTTTGGAATACAGTACTATTCGCTCTGCGAATGATTTTTATAGGCTTCAGCTACTCCAATACTTCAGATTGTTGTAGTAAGCATGAATATTTCAGTCAGACTGGAACGTAAAGGCCGCCGTAAAAACTAAATCTTCATTAACGACCTTTGAATCTGAAATACAGTCCTTTATTTGTGGACCCGGAATCTACTGTACTCAATTATTTATGGTAGTCTTTCAGCGGTTACTCGCTATAACACGAATATGAAAATAAATTTGGTGTCGTATCAAACAAACAGCTGCTCTCTGTAAACCGCTTAACCTCATTTCAACGGCTGTTATTTCAGTCTAATATTCTAAAAACAATCCAGTGTATTTCCCATCAGCTACAGTATTCACTGCATTGTCATATACGGCCAGTTGAAAGATCCCCCAGAAAGAAGCATATCACGAATTAAAGTTTCTATAGGTGTCTTCCCCACAAGTCGGACAAAGAAGAGCTGCTCGATCACTGCTGAACTGACTGTACGCAGTGAGGGTAGACGAAGCAAAAGTTTACCGAATCGGTTCGGCTGATTTGGGTACTGACTTCGGACATATTCCTCGAGTGCGCACTGTGATTTTTCTTGCAAGCATTCGATGTGGGCTGCATCGGACAGGCCGCAGGCATCTGTAAGAACAAACCAAAATTCAGATTTTTAAAAGCAAAATCATAACGCACCAAACATCGTATAACAATCAATAAACTTCATAAGCAACGTAAATCAATTGACTAGACCAAAAACTCAGATGCTACACAACTCCCTGGAACATACACATACCTGACATATCAACAAAACTGGTATAACACCATTAATATAAGGCAGGTGAAATTTTGTTCGGAAAAATACAGAGGGGTCTACACCTTTTTTTAAAGTCAGTGGATAAATTAACATATCTGTAAAGATCTACTGTCGAAATATGGAACATTAATTCCTATCAGTATAGAATACAGTATATAGGCCTAAGTGAGAAGGTACAGTGATCCTGTATTTGTTCACAATTAGTTGTTTAATAGACTTAAAATATATAATAATGAATAAATAATTGTATTTTAATTCATAATGCAAAACATTCTAGAGTGGTATACTCAAATGCGCAGCGAGTGACTTGCAAACAATTTGCAAGATTAACAAACACAAACATCAAATTCAAAACCGCAATAATATAGGCCTACACATTAAGCTGCTTTCACATCGGATTCGAACCGAAATTTGGACGGCGTTTCTGATTCGATGAACTCCAGTGTCACTATTCTTACACACTAATTCTATTTTTTGCTCAATTCGGTAGGCCTCCCGATCCGAAAATTCAGATTCCGTATAAATGGAGCTTTAGAGACAGTTCAAGGCATATATAATTCGCTATGTTAGTAGTGCAAGTTGGCGTGTCTGGCCGCGCCTTTCCCAGAGTAAACATGGATTGGTACAAAAACATTATGTTTATTGTTTGTAATTTACTGGTGTTGAGATGAGATCACAAAATTCAATCGGTAAACTGCATACGGTTATTTCACAAATTCAGATATAGGCCCCTACCACAAAGATTTTTGGGCATAAGAACTAATTAAAAAAAAATGACAGGTCAAGAATAATCTAAGTATAATAGTTCTTCCAAAATCATATTAAACAATAGTGAGCATATTGAGAAAAGAACAGTATGAAATTGTATTTGGTCTAAACCGAACAGAGTTAAGCCTACACAATGCCTTTGGACGGAGTATGGAATACATTGATCAGTACATTCTCAGAACCTGACTCCGGTCAGGTTCTGAGAATTGTTTGTAAAGGACTTGCCGAGAAAACCTGTTCAAACCCACCTCCCCCCTCAAAAAAATACGACGGAGAGAAGCAGAGACTAAATTGATATACAGTTATAAAAGTATTTAATTCTCTACTAGAAAAATACTTTAATTGATTACTGTATCAGCTAATGGTATATTAAGATAAAGTCAATATGGATGTCCGTTAAATTGTAAGGAATGTTATTTTTTTAAAATTTTAATTTTCTATTTAAAAATAAAAAAAAACCCCAATTTGTTATTATCTAAATATACAAAATAAACAATTAAAATAATATATCACAGACGGTATATCTGTAGCAATTAGTACGGTAGTACTTATAATATCAAAAATAAATTAGGCCTAAATAAATAATAAAGGAAAAAAATATTTTGTTACATGTTTACGAAAGTTAATATACCGTTCAAAACGATATTTCCCAGCTCTGAGATTCAGTTGTTCTTTTTTTTTTCAAACATCACGTGGTATATAAAGGACGGAAGATTTTTTCTCAAGAAAAAAATAATCATTGTCTGATAGCTTGAATGAAAGTTGAATTATGTATAGGCCTAGAACATGATTCCGGAATTGATTGTTCCACTACAGAAGGACATTCATTCTTCATCGTACGCATCACATTACGGGTTTGCTCCGTTTTCAATTGAAATTAATCGGACCAGTTCTGTTTCTCACAGGGCATGTGGGTGATTTAATGAAGTATACTGTACCTAAACACGAGTGGTTCTTAAAACCGAGTTTAGGGTCAACCAGTGACCTCATTCTATGTGTAATCAATCCTACACGAAGTATACACAATCCATACACAGAGCCTTTAATAGTCTGTTTCCATATTATTGATCACAACTGTGCAAATATGACATTGCATGGGAGACTGAACGCGTTCGAGTGTCATAATCGACAGACGGTCCGTCATGCGTTTTCTGTTGAATTTCTAACGAGAAGAATTATGATTCATATGCAAAACGTAACGAAGTCAAGTGCGCATACTCAGATAGATCTACGTAAACTTGACGCCGATGTACTTTTGTTCACCGTATAATTATTCCATTACCAGACAAACCGGAAAATTGTGTCAAACGGTGACCTTCCGTAAACGATGCCATATTTCTTTGTACCAAGTATACTATGAATATTGATGTTAATACTGTACAAACATACATGAGACAATAAAAGTACAATAGTACACATATATTACGCAGGTCTTTATTTCCGTACCAAAACAACACAGTGCGACCTGCTGTTTGATCAATTTCAATGGCATACGTGTCAATTAGGTCTTATATAGTTAGATTTTAATTTACCTGCAGTCTTGGTTTGAACAAATATCACAGGCTATCTTTAAATGTATCGTTTATTGCATGTATGTGATCGATGTGCTTACGGCTAAAGGTAGGCTACAAGAGTGGAGTTTCAGAAATAGTGTAGGCCTTCATTACGTAACGGAAGAGAAAAACTGCGTAAAGCAAAACTATTTTATCAACTGGTTTTATTTTTGACTCTGGTGTTAAAAAAAACAAAACAATACCATGATGTTTAATAATATTTCTGAAGATTTGCTCTTATCAAGATTTGAAAACAAGACGTTAGAGCTGCTCGACTAAGATTTTGTTTATATTTGGTAAACAACCTTGGGTCTTTCTTTTATGGATCCGTTTTCTGTCAGAGTAACAATTAATAAATACATAATAAATTCATAATTATAGTTCAAATTGTATTTTCTATTATACAGACCGAGTCATATAATAAAATATGTTCAATAACATTTTGAGAAAAGGTACTGCAAAGTTGTATATTCGTTAATATTCATGTTCGTTCATAGAGGTCCCTACAATATGCGCTATATAAGTCGACAATTATTATTATTATTATTATTATTATATTGCATGTTTGATCATACAAAGAACAATGAACTAAAAACTGATTATACACCTTGTATATGCTTAAGATTAGAGTATAGTTCTTTGACACCAGGTGTGTACAACAGAATCGTCCTCATTCTATATTAATTAATTTAATTAGAATAGTTCATTCTCATAAATTGCCTAAATCAATTACAACGAAAGTTTAAACTTAGTGTCTGCTTAAACGCTAATTTGGTAGGCCTATGAATAATAAACTTGTATTCTTATAACAATTATCCGATCGTGTGTAGGTCAAAGCTAAGAAGCACTTGGGCTTACGCGCATTTTTATCAACAAAGTGATTTATGCTTTGTCTAACCTAAATACATATAGGTCACATTCTAATGCCATTGCATCTTATATAATCAATATTGTTGTAATCCTGTTGACATATGATATTTAAGGAGTAAGAAAAATCCAGTGTATGCATACGAGTTAATAATAGGCTGGCGATGAAAGTTGAGGTACCTCGATTCTTCAATATCTTACTTTAAGAATTTGACTTTCGGTTTGTTTTGTTGAACATAATTATTTTCTCGTTTGTCAAGCGCATAGATATCACGACGACATCAGTCATTGTTAGTCCAGCATTAGTTATTAATATAATATTTTGACGAACATAAATTCTCGGAATGTTCCAAAACGCGTGGTTATTGCGTCAGGCAATTTATCAGTTGAAGCTTGGTTTCCATACAATCGCTACACGCTCTCGCCGACTAGACAGCTTTCGGTGATGCTGAGGTCGGTCGAATCGGGGAACCTTCCTGATTGCGTCTGGGACTGCTGCTGCTATACGCAGTACAACGATTGCACTGAAAAACACTGTAGCGACAGTGCGGCGATTTTAAGGACACCGCATGAAGAGTATTATGGTAAAATCTGGAGAAAAACCCCTTTAAAAACCCGACCAGACCATGGAATAGCTTATTACCATACAATTTAAGGATGAATAAAAAGAATATACTGTAGTAATATTTATTTGTGGCTCTGTTTACTGGCAGTAAAAAAAAATTGTCGTTCTAGTTTATTGGAAGCTATTAATTTAAATATACAAATTAAAATTAAGCAATTCAAATGCAAAATCTTATTGATCAAAACAGTATATTTTATATTTTTTCATTATACTTTCTTTATAAATCGTCAAATTCATTCTGGGCTGCCAACACAACGTTTGAATAAAATATAAAAACACACACCTTTAAACACGCCGTATAAATTTGCCGCCACTGTCAAAATACATAGGCTTTGACTAATAATACATGTAGGTCACGTAACTATGAATTTGTGTCAACATTTATGAATTATGTAAATAGTTCTATGCTCTTAGCTTAGTCCACCCACTCTAGAGCACACTCTCAGTCAAATGAAAATGATAATCTAAATATAGTCTACTCTATGAAGGTCTATACTAAAACGAATGTGTGATTTGCTCATTAACGTCTATAGTTATGCAGTTTCAAAGATTTAAAGGCTATGTCAAGGACTACCGCACTGTCTTGAAAAAAAAATGTAGTCTTTTAATTATACTACAAAAGGCCTAAAATACTAGCCAGTTTATGGTGTATACATCTAAGATAAGATACATATACCTAAGTATACAAAGTACTGGCAAACAATTCAAATATTGAATATTAATGAAGTTATCAGTAGTTTAACCATGTTTAACACAGACAGTATATGGAATGATTGCAGATACAGATCAGAGCGCCCTAAGCGTGGACTACTGTAGCTCATTAAGTAAATTTCTTCTCCCCTATAAGGGATCTCTTCGTGTCTGAGCTGGCCGGTAAACCGGTACCAGCTACTTTCGTCTGTCCACAACTCTCGTCTGTCTACTTTTGATATTAATACGACTATAGGAAACCTATTTTCTAAAAAAAAACCAGGTAAAGTGGATCATAGAACACCTGGCGAAGAAGTCGATCTATAGG